GAGAAGTTTTCTCTTGAAGCCATTCAGCCCAATGTAGTGTAGATAAAACGCCGTTGTTATCGCACACTGGAACCTTTGCCTCAAATTAAAATAGTGGCTGTAAACAATATGTGAATTAAATCCTACACCGTGCCAGGCAACCACTCATACTGTCTGAACCTATTCATGAAGTCTCCTTTAAGGCAATGTGCATTATGAGTCACTGAGGGCCTCTGCCCTGTCCCACCCAATTGCAGCCATACTCATTTGAATGGAGAGTCAATTCTCAAGTGATTCATCTCCATATTTCTTTTATAACTTATAACTGACAGAAAGCAATAAGCGAGGCCTTAAATGAGGGATGATTTATATGTGGCGTTAAGGAGTAAAGTTTGTGAGCAAACTTTTTGGCAGAGGCACACGTGCTTGGAAATTACTTAAGATAATGAATGAGTGACCGAGGTTAATGGTAGACACTGCGGTAAATAAACCTGATTACATGATTATGCTACCTTCTGAAATAAATGAACAAATAAGAGTATTTAAAAATGAGGAGAAGCTGGGAAGAGACTTGAGCCTCTTGACCTACCTATCATGGCCCAGCTAAAAAAAAAAATCACTGGACATCCCCAGTCTGTTGGAAATGAAGAAGAAGCTCCTCTTCTATGTGTGTGTTCTGTGTTTCAGGTGGAGCATTGGCCCTTTATTCGGGCCCCAGCAATGACTGCTGTGTGGTCCATATTGTTTTTGTTGAAATGATTCATTGATTTTTTTTGTCTCTGAAATTATTTGGATTTTTTGGGAACCCAAACATGCACGAAAACTCTGCAGTCATCAGGCCTGGTGAAAAATGTGACGTTATATAGTTATCATAAACCATGAAAACAAAATAGCTCGACAGTGCCACCTACAGTGGGAGAAAGAGGAACAGGAAATGAGCGATGAATTTTTGAATGTCCAATTTTGGCTCATTTTCGCACATTTACAAGGGAAACACTTTTGCGCCTTTGTCCTAGTCCAGTGGTTCTCAATTATTTTCTGTCGTTCCCCCCCCCCCGCT